TTTTCTCACCTGGGCTTTGTCAAAACAGCCCGCCGCTAATTAGTGTGACTTTAGAAGGAAGAATTTTGGCGCCTATCTGGCGAACTGAGACAAATCAATTTTTCTTTTTCTTGTCTTTTTTTCAGACCTGACAGTCAGAAAATCTTAATTATCTACATTGAAAATGTTTCCACTTTATTATCGTGGGGGTCCAATTCTTAACAGGTCAGGATCTGTATATAGTTCCACCGGTCACTCCCTCAACCCAAAAAACACTTTTCTCTGATTAAAAATTTCGTTCATTGTTCTTAAAAAAAATTCCCCTTTATCCAAATTGATAAGAAGTCTTTCTATAAAAAAGTAGGTCATGTGCTTTGACCGATTTTTTTATTATCAATACACTCTTATCAAAAATATTCATTGTCCTTCCTTTCTCTAAATTTCTTTTCTTCTTTAAATAACATTCTATTAAATCAATTTCTTTAAAAAAAAAAATCGGCCGTTACATGGCCTAATTACCTTTAAGATGATACGTATTTTTGTTAATGACCCTTTTTTTATTTCTCGACTCTCTCTTTCTTTTTTTTTTTTTTTTTTTTCTTTTTTTTTTAGGATCGTCTAAGTACATTCTTAGTGAATTATTTTCAACTCAATTATTTTCCGTTTTAAAAAAAATTAACAACCTGTTTAATAAACCGAGTAAAAGAAAAATTAAATCATATTTCTATGAATATTTCTAATAATGCAAGGTGCCACAATATTAAGAAATGGACAAGGTCCGACAATTTATTTATTAAAGACATTTTTATGTTTAACGTTGTTATTTATAGATACAAGTATTTAAGCAAATGCTCTGTTTATGATAAACAGTATTAAATAACATTTACCGGCCTGAATGTTATATATATATAAGTTATATATAGAAAATATTAAATCTTTGACAGGATTCGAAACTGCATCCTATACGGAACCGTCATTTACGCTGACGTAATATAATTTTAAATAAAACAAAAGAACATTTTTTTTTTAAGGTCAATATAAAATTTATAATATAAATAACAATATTATTTTAAACATAAAAATGTCTTTAATAAATAAATTGTCGGACCTTGTCCATTTCTTAATATATGACGTCATTTGTTTACATTTGATACGCCAGAGCAGTTATGAATGTACGAGATTCATGGAAGATTGAAGTTTATAAGCAGTAAATTCGACCTTGTCTACCGAGAGATTTTTTTGTGGTTCAGAGGTTAAGGCACGTCAGCGTAAATGACGGTTCCGTATAGGATGCAGGTTCGAATCCTGTCAAAGAACGAATATTTTCTATGAAAATTTCTCGGACATTCAGGCCGGTAAATGTTATTTAATACTGTTTATCATAAACAGAGCATTTGCTTAAATACTTGTATCTATAAATAACAACGTTAAACAAAAAAAAAAAATCTTAAATAAATATATATATATATATATTGAATAATAAAAATATATAAAAAAATTAAAATCTTCAGACATTTAACAAACTTTTAAATTAATATTTTTTTTTTTTTATTATTATTATTTCATTTAGATTCCTCGATTAAAATGGGCAAAAAATGGCCATCAAGGAATAGGGTAAAGAAAAATATTTCTGCTTGCTGGTAGCAAAAGTAAACTACAGAAATGAATGAATTTTGATGTCTTTAGTACTTATCATAGAACAAATAATTTTTTAAAAAAAAGGCCCATTACAATTTTAAAAAAAAAGAATACAGCTCGAATGAAATACATTAAAAAAGTTCATTATTTAAAATATTAATTAAAAAAAAATAAATGCATTTTTTTTCTTTAAGACCCTTTTTAAGAATTCTATTTTAAATATTAATTATTTAATTATTAATTGTTTAGGTTTAATATTTTTATAACGGATTGGATATAATTGTAATTTTTTTTAAAAATTAATTGTATTGTGGAGTTTCAAATTCATTGACACACAAAAACACACACACACACACACACACACACACACACACACACATATATTAATATATATATATATATATATATATATAAATCATGGGTCCTGATCTATAACTACAAAATGAATTTCTTCCTAACACTATTGAATACAAACGCCTCTCAGAGAGGGACCAATCGCTAGTCAAAGCAAATCGATTTAGTTAACTCTAAACCAGACTGACAGTCATACTAACAATTTCCACATCTTAATAAATTATTTTTATAATGAAAAATGTGTAATATTAAAAATTATTTCTAGATATTAAATGTTCGGTGTAATTTTTTTTTTCAGATTTCCTAATCTACAAATATAAAAATATATATATATATATATATATATATATATATATATATATATATATATGGTTAGGAAGTTTGTTAAAATAGAAAATTAAGAACGATTAGTTAGTCTGATCCTCACTTTTTGAGTGAATTTATTTTTCGGCATTGTTCACATCCAAGCTACGCTTAAAAAATGATGGATATATATATATATATATATATATAAAATAAACTTTGAAGTTATTGATTACAAGAAGACAGGCTTTTTATCCAGATTTTGCAAAGTCAGGCCACCTTGCAAATAAGTTATGAAACAATTGTTGCTTAGATGAAATGTTGATTCCAATGTTCATTTTATATTTATATAAACATGTAGAAATTATCTCTGATATTGAGCACTTTATCCAATAAATAAAAAACACCTTAATTCTATATTTTTTTATATATATATATATATATATATATATATATATATATATATATATATATATATATATTAAAATGAAAGAAGAAATTGAATATCAAAAAACGTTCAAACAACTTTTTTAATTTAAAATAGGGCTCGATACAATATTAGAGCTCTAAATCTTTATTATAATGTATTGTAGAGGCTCGTTGGTGTGACCTCTCAATTTATATTTAAGCAAATTACCACAAAATAGTAAACAACAGGAATAAACCCAAAACGATTTTATAACAACAAGATTTACATTTATATTTTTATATATTTATAAATCTGGGAATATGTTGAGTAATCTTTTATCCTTAGAACAGTTGATGGAGTGAATGTTCCGTAATGTTTTTCATTAAGTTTCCATTGCTTGTAGTTGAATATTCGTAATGTAATGTTCGTAACGATGTTTGAAAAGTTTCATACATACGTGTATGTGTGCGTGTGTGTGTGAATATGTTTTCATAGCGTCCGTCCGCAAAGGGTCGAGACACCATTTCTTTTACAACTACATTTTTCGTAAGCGAATGAAATCAAGAGAAAGAAAGAAAGAACTTGTGTCTGGTATTTGTAATCAATGTAATCACGTGAGAGGCTCGAAAGGCAATGACAGACTCTGGGCGGAATTATTTTTTAGTCAGGTCAAGAACTAGGTGGATATTATTCGGACGTAGTTGAGAACATGACTTAAATATTAACTGGCCAATCAGAAGATGTATTTTTTCTGAAAATAGTATGTAAATGTTTTTATTGGATAAGATCTTTGATCCTTTTTTTTTTTTTTTTTTTAGGTGCACAGATTTGCACAAAAATTGAGATTAATAAAAAAAAAGTCGTAGCGGAATGCTAAAGTATTATATCTGAACATATGTTCAAACGTAAGATCCTATTATAAAAGAATATATATATATATATATATATATATATATATTATATATATATATTATATGTGTGTGTGTGTGTGTGTGTATGTATGTATGTATGTATGTATTTGTATTCACTTATTTGGATACATTTAATTATATTTATTCTTTTATTTATATATATATATATATATATATATATATATATATATATATATGTGTGTGTGTGTGTGTGTGTGTGTGTGATAAATTGAATTTGTTTTTAAATATATAAGGATCGTTAATTAATTTGAAACCTTTAAAACCATTTATTCTACATTCTACGGTGGTGTTGAAACAAAATGGCTATTTTTGTAACATGTTTGTTATAATTTTTTAAATATATATATATATCATTTCACCTCAACAAGGCAATAAAGCCACTAAGACGCAACGGATTACTCAGTGTTAGAAAATATGTGAAAAATTACTGTTATGTAGAGAGGACAATAAAAGAACACAAATTAAGAAGACAGAAGATAAAAAAAACTGACATTTCATTTAAATTTTTGAATATCAAAGTCGACTAGGAAGCAAGAAGCCGGAAGAGAGTTCCAAATATGAGAAGTGCGACCGAAGGAACTATTAGCATAGAACTTACGGTTACATTTCACCATTTTATCTGTAAAATGAGGATAGGTTGGAACAGGTTGACATTTTTATATATGCATATATAAGCAGAATACGATATTATACAGCGGTATCTAGCGATATGTCAAACCGCTGAGCTTGATATACGCTGCATGTCGAACAAACCCGTGTTGACCATATTCACCATAGTCTATGAATATAGAATACAGCGCAGTACCTAATCTGTTCAATGCTATACAATTTTGAGGAAAAAAATATTACCAGAAATAGATTTTTGACAAAAAAAAAAACAGGAAAAAAAAAGTTGTCGGTTTTAAATGACCCATTGAGGTTGATATGCCGTAAAACAAAATCCAAACCAAACCAAACCCCTCTTATCTATATAAACTACCTGTTAACGAAAACATCTACCTGAATTGATCAAATAGAGAGCCTTTGTACTCGGGTGAACCTTACTGCAAATCCCCACCTCTCAACAATACCTCCCTTAACTAGATGATTACTAGTGAAATGTTATAAATCGTCATCTTATCTTTCCTTGCTGCTGACTCAGAGAGAAGGGGGCATATAGCCGCCATTACATTGCAAATCTTATTCTTTGTCTTTTATCATTGTCTTTGTAATTGTTTTTCGCCATTTTTATCTGGCGTGACTTCTCAATATTTGGAAATGTTTCTTTCTTTCTTTTTTTTTTTTTTTTGTTCTAATATTTCGAAATTGCGTTAGTCTTGTTGAAGAAATCCGAGCAGTCATAATAATTGGTTCAATATCGATTTCAATTGATGAAAACTTAAAACCGCAAGGAAAACATTGCCAATCTCCAAATCTGGGAATTCGATATCGACTCTGAGGATCCGATCAACGCTCAACACCTCCCCCTTTTCACCCATCCTGCAGAAATTCCTATTTTTGTATTGCGCTTTATTTCTCCCTTTTCCAAATTACTACAGTCAATTTGTTCAACGCCTGTTTTCGAATTTCTTCTTTTTTTTTTTCAAAGTTACATTTAATGAATTAATTACACGACATTCAATCTCGTGTTGTCTCGCGAGAAGTTAACCAGCGAAGCAACGCGGAGTGAAAATTGCGATGATTCCAAACGGAGCAGCCTGCGAAAAAGGTTATTAAAATGAATCACGTGACATGAAAAAATTCGATGAAGGGACCAATAAAAATAATGCATTAAAAAAAATCACGTAAAAGAAATGGTGGGGAATGTTGGCATAAGAGATAAACCCTCTGTATATGTTAAATAGGAATAAAGTGTGGCCTGCCGACACTGGAGTTTGAACTCAGATCACCAGAGAGTAAACACAGGCGATCCCATTTTAAATAAGTAGATAACGTGATGGTAAAGGAAATGTGTATATGGGAATTAGCGCGGCGTCTAATTGATCACCATTTCTATTCTATCCTCTATTACTATACGGATCCTTCTTTCTACACTATCCTCTATCTCCATACTATTCACTATACTATTTCTACTATAGTGATCACTATATGGATTACTATTCGGATCACTATTCAGTGGTTACTAATAGAGCGAGTATTATCGAGCAAGTACTATTAGTGCGAGTGTTATTCGAAGGCGTCTGACACCAGTATTGTTCAACGGCGTTACTATAGTTGTAGCTGCGATTACAAAGTCTCTACTACAACGAGCATTCCGAAAGTGACAACGAGTATTCGTTGACATTACAAAAGTGTCAGCGTGTGTTCATTGACATCTCAAAACATTTCCAAAACAGAAGCTATTATCTGGAAGTGGACTAAAAGTCGTGATGGCACCGACCCTGAATCCATCATGAAAATACAGGCTGTGGAATTAGTAAATACTAAATACTTCAAATACCGTGTTCTATGGATCAGTTATAAAAAAAAAGTAAATCTAGGAGGTAACTCCATTTAGTGTTACTGTAATTATTACCTCGCCTAAAATGTTAATCTTTTCGCCAGTTACGGATTTTGCTGTTTTATCCGTTTTAATAAGGTCGGCTTGTTTAATTTTCGCTAAGTACGCCAGTTAATGGTTGAAAGCTGGAATTTAATGGACTTATTGAAAATATCCACAGTTACATATTTTCTTAAATTCCTATCGACAATATTGTCAGATTGAGCTTGCCTAATTTTATTTTTGGGGTTTTCTCGTTCTGTTGGCGTACCAGCACGAAGTTAAAGTATGACCACTTTTTATTACAATTTTGCAATATTTTTGTTCTTAACTGGACAGAATTTCATCCAATGCCATTTACCACAATGGTAACATGGTCCGGGCGGTTTTTTTTTAACTTATTTGGGTTTTGGTTACTGCGTAATTTAGGACATGAGATTTGCCTTTTGTCTTTTTGAGGGGAATAGGAGGTAGACTTGCTTCTGATTTTATTAATCTGAGTCACACCTGATTCCTCGATAGGGGTTTGAGTCACGCTTTACAGATATTACTCTTTGACAGTCCTCTGCCAGTTTTTGGAGAGTCAATCCTTGTTCGTTCTCAAGCTTGGTCAGTACCCGTCGTCTGACTTTGGCGTCTTCTGCTGATACTAGACCTTGTGCGAAAATCAAGCACTTAAAATCATCGGCAGTCAGTTCGGCTAGTTTAAAATCATTACAGAGCTTGTTTACCGATGCTGCAAACGTTAGAAAATCTTGCTGGTTGTCTTTGACTGTGTTCAGGCATTTCCAACGTTCGTGGAACAAGGTTGTGTTAGGCCCGAATAGTTCCGATAGGAGCTTAATAGTCTCTGAAAAATCCAAGTCTCTGGTTTTCTTGGGTAGTATGAAGTCTACGAACCTACTATGTTCTGTAGTTCCCAGTTTTCTCAATAGAAGACGTACCTTTTTTTAACTGGACCATTGTTCACAGTCTAGGTTGAAAATATCTTCGTAGCGCCTGTAAAAAGCTTCGAACGTTTTGTCTTCCTCTGGTACGTATTCAAAGGTTTCCATTGAATTGTAGATTATACTCTGAGAGAATATTGTATCTTTTTCAGAGTTTGAGCCTTTTAATGAATTTACGAGTAATTTTTTAAGTTGTTTCTGTTGTAGTTCAGCATTCTGAAGCGTAATTCGTTGGAATTCCATTTGTTGTTTATGTAATTCCAAAAATAGTTGTTGTTGTCTTTCTTCTGATTTTTGTTGCTGGTCCAAATTTAGTTTTAACATTTGGTCAACTACTTTTTTGAAAATCTTCCATATTTAAACAAAAAATGACAGCGCTTTTTTTTGTTGCTTTGAAACACGTATACTAAGAGGAGGTACACAAAAAAATTTGATAGATTTTTTTTTTTTTTTCTTTTTTACAAAAAAAATATGGACAGACAATTAGTTAAACTAAACCAATTATGTGTTTAGCTTTTTTTTCCCGTGGTTCCGTTAATTTTAACGTAATTGAATAAATTTTCACCACATTTATGTATTTTTTTTTTATAGGTACAAAAAGAAAACTCACCTCAGTGAATTTGAGGGGAGAATAATTTTATGCACGATGTTCAACTCAGTTACATAAAAAAAAAAATTTCGATTTTTTCAAAAAACTTGAGTACAATGGTAGTACTTGCTTTTTTGTATTGTCAGTTTGTTTTATGAACAAACTGTTTTTTTTTCTGTGTGTGGGGGTGTAAAGAAATCGTTCTCGTTATGTTATTTGGACAGACTTTAATATTCTGTAGATGTCGAATCACTAGTTCGTCATTAATGTTTGGTATTGGAATATATGTAGACGCTGGGTGTTTAGCTTTTAAAAATCGCTAATGTAGTAATACCAGCTTAATTTCTCGTTCAACACTGCTGTGGGAACGCGTGGAGTTTCTGTGTATTTTTCGAGTACTGTGTCGCTATTGATATGGTGAGAACGAAATTCTCGAATCTTTCTGTCGCCACTGATGTGGGACTGGCAAAGTTATTGCGGTTTTCGACGTGAATGCGTTTCTCGAATTCTTCGTCGACACAGATGTGGGACTGGTAAGGTATTTAGGTTTCGCCGTGAGTGCGTTTCTCGAATCCTCGTCGCCACTGATGTGGGGCCAAAGTTGGGACCAACAGAAGAAAAAACACAGAACACGGATTAGATGTAAGAAAGATATATTAACAACAGGTTACAGAGATAGTGTAAGGAGAGCTTACTATATGTTCTATGTCGAATACTGGTAGTCGCCTACTTAATAGACTCTCACTGTCTCTCTCTCTCTGTGTTTCTGTCTCTCTAGATTGCTATGTCGCCTACTTAATATAGGCCTGGAAGAGTCTATTATATGTAGGTCGGTTTTGTCGTTACCTGGAAAAATTTCATAATGTTCCAGGGACTATTAAGTATTCAAATTCGTCCGTTTTTATAAAGATCATTTGCAATTATTTAATAGATGCTTTGCTATTTGCTATTATCACAGATGCCAAAATGCTAGGGAATGAAATTTAAACATTTGTAACAAAATATAATGAATTTGCAGGTTCCATAAAAGAACGATAATATTGTCAAATATTTTAATCAGACAATATAAAATGGAACTTATTTAAAATAAATAGACAAATATCTATATCATTTATGGAAACATGCAGGGAAAGTTTGATGAATTTGTTTCAATAAATCTAGCCATAATATTCCATATCCATAAATATATATATATATATAAATATTTATATATATATATATATAGTAAAATCATTTGCAATGAATTTTTATAGATGCATCAATATTTGTTATGAATCACTAGATATGGAATAATATAGGGAATGAAAATGATGATGGATTTGTTTCAAAATCCTAGCCAAATTTTCAGGTTCCATAAAGAATTTCTAATGCATTATTGTAAAATATTTATAATAAATTCTATAAAGTAAAATCATTCAACAGTTGGTTGAAAATGATAAATATAGATGCTTATATATATATATATAATATATCAATAGATATGGAATCATTAGAGGGAATGAAATTTGATTAAATTTGATAAATTCATAGAAATGATTTAGCCATAATATTCCAGGTTCCATAAATAGCTAGTATTCAAAAATTTCTAATGCATTCCTATATAAAATATATAAATGAACATATATATATTTATATATTTATATATATCATATAGATATGGAATCATTAGAGGGAATGAAATATATGGATATATTTATTTATATAAATATATATAATATTCAGGTATATAAAAAGCTTGTATTAAATAGTTTTCTAATGCATTCCTATAGTAAAATCATTTGCAATGAATTTCTATAGATGCTTTATATTCAAGCCTATATAACTAGATATGGAATCATTAGAGGGAATGAAAGTTTGGATGGATTTGTTTGGAGCCATAATATTTCAGGTTCCATAAAGAGCTTGTATTCAAATTATTTCTAATGCATTATATAGTAAATCATTTTCATTAATTTATATATGCTTTTAATATTTATATAGCTAATATGGAATATATATATATATATTTATATATATATAAATATATATAATATATAGGTTATATATATATATATATATATATATATATATATATATATATATATATATTTATGAATTTCTATAGATTTATATATATATATATATATATATATATAGAGGGAATAAAGTTTGGATGGATTTATTATAAATCCATAATATTGTTCCATCTGTTTGTGTCAAAAATAAATTCTATGTAAATTATTCCAATGAATTTCTATAATGCATTAATATAAAAATTTTTGGAATCATTTTAATATAGTTTGGATGGCTTTTATAAATCCTCTGTCCTATTTCAGGTTCCATAAATTATTATATTGAATCATTTTTCTGCATTCTATAGGAAAATATTTTATTGAAAATAAGATTGTTTTTTTTTTATGATTGTAATATACTTAGAGGAAATGATATTTGTTTTATAAACCATTTAAAATATTTTAGGTTCCATAAAATTATATTTATAAATCTATTTTTAAAAAATTCCTTAGTAAAACATTTGCAATGAATTTCTATAGATGCTTTTAGTATTTAAAATATCCCTAGATTGGAATCATTAGAATGAAAGTTTGGATAATTGATAAACAAGCCATAATATTTCACTCATCTCTGTGATTGTATTCCGAATTTCTAATTCATTCACAGGTAAAATCATTTGCAATAAAAAACTTATATTTTGCTATAAAATATTGCAGAATTATTAGGAAATGAAAGTTTGGAATTTGTTTCATAAATCCTTGCCATAATATAGGTTCCATAAAGTAAAAATCATTTTAATGAAAAATTCATTTGTAATGAATTTCTATAGATGCTTTTAATATTTGCTATATCAAGAATATGAAATCATTAGAGGAATACTTGCATTTTTAAAAAAATTTGATCTCTTTTCCTGATTTCATTGCCATATTCACCACATTATAAAAAAATAATCATTATATTTTCAAAATTTTCTAAGCTTTTTTCAAATTAAATAATCAAATTTTCAAAAACGAGAATTAAAACCAAAAAAATCGTTCTTTGTTTTAAATCATAATATCTGAAAAGGTTCCAAAATATTTATAAATCAAATTAACTATAGTAAAAATGATTCATAGATGCTTTTAATACATCTCTATTATATGGAATTTAATATTTGGACAATTCTTATATATCTAAATATATTTCTATTCAAATAAAAAATTTTTATAAAATAAAATGAATTTCTATAGATTTTAATAACCAATCACCTAGATATGGAATCATAAGAGGGAATACAGTTTGGATGGATTTATTTCAAAAACTTGCCATGAAATGGCAATGAAAAAATAAATAAATTTTGAGTCAAATCATTTAATGCATAGATAACGTATTGAGTTACACTAAAATGCTATCTCGTAATTGATGTTCAGATGCTATCTCGTAATTAAGTAAAAAATTCAGGGATAAAAAAGAAAAAAAAATGATTTATAATATCTCTGAAATGATTACTTGCATCATTTATATTATTCATATTTGTTAATGGAACATTCCAATAAAAGATATTTTTATATTCTTAGCAAATTTTATAAATAATATTCTAAAAAGACGAAAACGTAAAATGGTTCTTCATTTGAATTTCTTTTAGTAACTGCAAAAATATCAAGTTGGAAATTAAATTCAAGACTGTTTTTAAAAAAATGAGCCATCGTAATTCAATTAGACTGAGAATTTTAATATCTATATAAAATAATTAAATCTTTACTTTTTTATTTTTAGTATGACGGTGATCACTAGAATGGATTCATTACATTTCCTTGTTTTTGGATTGGCAAGAATCAAAACGTAGAAGACATATTCAGGTTTGAACTGCTCAGTATTGATGAATTTCTAACCTGTTCCTATCACAGATGCCATTCCCTAAAATGAGTTATTAATACTTTTATGTTCAAAGCTATATTCCTAGATATGGAATTTATATAATAAAGAATAAATCAGATTATAAACTCTGCTAACTAGAAAAAAAAAATAAATGAATAATTCAATTATTTTAATGCATTCCTATCTAAAATTCCATTTGCAATGAATTTGCCACATTTTTTGTATATCTTAAAGATCAATAATGATTACCATAAAAACATGTCGATATAAATACTGCCATTAATTTCTTAAACAAACACTGTCTCATCCATTATCATTCTATAGCAAATCATAACAATCTATCATTTATATATGATTTTTTTTTTATATAGTTTTGTCTTACATTTATATATATATATATATATATATATATATATATATATATATATATATATATATATTATATTTATTTATTAATAAAATATTTTGTAATGTATTTCTATAAAAAAAATCAGTGATAATATATGATGTAAAAATAACCCTGGTTTATATTACTATAAGTAAATTTACTATCGTCATGTATACATAGTTTTTATCAAAAATACCAAAACCACACATGAAAATCAGGTTCAATCAAACAATTATATATATATATATATATATATATATATATATATATATATATATAATGAAAATGAAAAGGACAAAATGGACTTAAATATATTTCATATTAGTATTCTCGTGAAATGCATTTGAATTGTATAAACTGTTTTTGACTTTGAATCATCCAGTCTTGTGCTAATGTAATGTTAAGTATCAAACAAAAAATCAGAAAAATAGACAATGCCATTTATAAGTCTTGGTATTCAGAACGTGAAGAAAGGCATGAACATGGTTTTTTTTTAGGTTTCTCATTACTTTTAGAATTAAAAAAAATTGATAAGAAAACAGATAAATTTTTTGTACTTTGGCAGAATTATTTTAGTGTGTGTGAAATTCATTCAAGAATTCATCGCATTATTATCTATTTGTATGTTTAAATTTTTTCAGCTCTGTTCAGCACCATTTCTATTAAATCTAAAAATATCACAAAATTCAAAATATTTTTTTAATTTATTAATATATGGGAAATATATAACATATATATATTCATATGATATGCTATGATCTTATCTATCAATTTTTTTCCACATTTCAGATTTCATTCGTACATTTTTCGAATATATATATATATATATATGATATAATAGATAATCAGTTTTTCTCGAATAAGATTTGAAGACGAATTAATGGAATGTATAATCAAATATAAAGAAAATCAGAATGATAAATAGATAGTAAGATAAAAATGACAAAAATTGATTATTCAATAAAAAGAGTCATGCCCTTCTTTAGAATTTGTTTTCTTTACGTTAGAATAAAAATTTATCGTCACCAAAATTATTTTTTCTTGACCATTGTTTTGGACAATTTGTTCAATACATTGATAAATAATGGTTTTACGCGTAATAAATCAATAATCAGAGCAAATTTATCTGCAATCAAATATTTATATATATTATATATATATATATAATTATTGTTTCGATGATTTCCATCACGAAAAACAACGAATACTCAGAGCATATGTGTCTTCCAGCATTTTATTACGGGGTCACCATTTTAAAAGGAACTATCAATGAAAAGATTCCTGAACTTCTTTTGTTGCAAAACATGACAATGTCATTTCCATATATGTAATACGTATATTTTCCGGCAACATTTTTCAAAATTTAATATTCTTATTATTGATATGAATTGGGCATTTCAGATTATTCAATGGTCAGTCTTAAAGTTCAATGATACAAATGAATTTCTTCTTCAGCATTTGTAGAGGCTCTAGAACTGCCGTCCATCATCTCTGTTCATTTTCTTTATATTCCTCTATATTTCCTCTGGTTTTCTGTTGACCGCATTATTATAATATTAGTTTTTTATTTTATATATATATATATATATATATATATATATATATATATAAATTAAATTTCTTTTGAGTAATTTCACGTCTAATTATAAAAATCTTAAGTTGTATAAGTTTAATATAATTTAAATCATAAACGCAATATTTTGTCGTCGAAAAATATTCATATCTTTCGATGAACGTCCCCGGTATCCCTGCGCCAATCGTGACGTCTGCCTGTCCTGTGACGACCAATGTGACTTGGTATTGGTCGCGGCACCAAATGTGACGTTCTAACCCTTTGCCGATTCGGATGGGATTCTGGTTAGATTCGGTATCAGCTTGGTCGTTCCCAGCTCGCCTTCAACGTCTGGTTACCGAAGTAACTGTTTTGATTTCTAGTCTAACCTACCCACGTTGTGATTTGATCTTAGGTAGACGAAATCAATCAGTCGCCGGGCCGTAATGCAAGCCGAAGTCCGAGCAAAGGTAACACCGCACAAGTATATGTAAAAGAAAATAAAATAACAACTCGAAAAGTTCAAATGTGTAAAAAAAAGAATAAAAATATTTTTATATCTGGTTGCTGAATACAGGACTGCGTCTTTCTCCCAAACCGCTTATATGGATTCGTGACACTTTGTGTTTGTTAGGCGAGTCTTAATATCTTAAGTTGTTTTTTCTTTCAAGAAACTGGTTTTTGTGTATCTTCAGGCGATATTCGTAAAACTTGTTTTGGTGGTGTGAGTCTAAGTCGTTCTTCAAAAATAAATTGTTCTTGGTTAGAAGTTGAAGTCGGAATGCGTGGATCTTCAGTCAGCTTCCTGCGAGGCTGGTCTCAGAGCTCTCAGCTCAACTCTGCGAACTCTTTCTGCGTCTGCCAACTCAACTGCGTCTCTCAACTGCCGTCTGCCGCTGCGACTCTGTTTATATGGACGCCGACCAAAACCGGGTGTGGGCTTGTCGGGGTTTGGGTTCCTCGATAATTCTAAATCCACAATAAGGATTTTCTTTGTTTTCGGACAGGAAAATTTATCACTTTCATTTTTTGGAAGTCCATTACTTTTGTTTTAGAGGGGTTCTTAAGGAATCGTCCTCCCAAATTCTTCCTTTCTCATATTGGTATCTCACCAATCCCCTCAGGGGCGTCAACAGGTTTCCGTTTCTTCTCACAGTGGTATCTCACACCAATCCCCTCAGGGGCGTCAACAGGCCTCCCCTCCTTCTCATATGTTTACCTTCGCCCAACGCTCACGCCACCATTCAGCCAATGAACGCTCAGCAGCGTGGGTGTGGCCAGTCTGGCCTCGGTTTAAAATTATCGCTCAAAAGAAAAAAAAATATCTTCCTTTTTTTTTTTTTTTTTTTCTTTTCCTCGACCAGACCCCTACGACTCGTAGTGTGGTCCTTAATCTCTATCTTAACCGAATGTCATCTGGAATTTATCAACGAGATTTTTTCGCCAAACATCAAGTGGGTGGTCAACTGGACACCTTCGCATTCTGTCGCCAATTATCTGTTCCGGTAAAAATAGTTTTTATCATGTCCAGGTCTGACAATAAAACAGGTGTCTTTTTCCAAAAACAAATGATATCTCCGAAAGATAGTTAATGGTTTAAGTTTTCCTTTTTCTTTTGGGGTGGTCTCAGCTGATTTTTTTTTCGGTCAGTGCATGACCTATTTAATTTGATTATCTTTTAGCATTCTGTTTTGTAGGCCACTTGACCAATTTGAAATTTTCATTATTGCCATGGGCAGATTGCTATCTTTTTATTCGCCGCGTCATAGCATAAATTAATTCCGACAGATCCGAGATTAAATTTCCTATCTTCTGCGAAAAAAAAATACTTTTTTTTTTCGACAAATGAAAATAAAATCTTTACCACTTTTCTTTGTTAAAAAAAATAACATCGCTCAGTATGTCTTTTCGTGATAGCTTCTTATCGCCTTAATTTAATTTCTCGCTTTTTTTAATTTTTTCAACTTTCTAAATAGTGCAACCTAAATAGTGTCACATCGATGCCAAATGTAAACAAATGACGTCACACATTATGAAACGTCTTAAAATAGTTGTCGGACTGTGTTCATTTCATACAAATGTATGAGAGAAAATCATGAAGAATTCAGGCCGGTAAATGTTGTTAATACTGTTTATTATAAACAGAGTATTTACTTAAATATTTGTGTCTATAAAAAGTAATCTATAAAAAAAGAACGTATAAATATAAAACAATGTCTTAAGATAATTATCAGACTTTGTCCATTTCATAATGTGTGACGCCATTTGTTTACATTTGGATACGCATCAAGCAAATATGAATGTACGAGAGAAAATCATGGAGAACTGTAGTTTAAAAACAGTAAAATTGACCGTGGTAACCGAAACCGTCCTCTGTGGCTCAATCGGTAAAAGCACATCAGGCTATGTGACGATTCCGTATAGGATACAGGTTCGATTTCTGTCGGAGGACGCATATTTTCTATGACAATTTCTCGGACATTCAGGCCGGTAAATGTTGTTTAATACTGTTTATTATAAACAGAGCATTTACTTAAATATTTGTATCTATAAAAATAACGTATAAACATTAAAATCTCTTAAAATGCTAAAGTATATATATATATATATATATATATATATTACTATATAAGATATATATTGTAGAACAGGTATATTTACCTTGACATGTATAAAAATACATATGCTGTTGGCACACTGAATGATTTTAAAACCCTAAGTTGGTACATTGTTAACAAAAGGTTGCCGACCCTTGTTTTAGAGGACATAGTGAGGTAAGGGGGCTTGGAAAATTTGATACTCAGAGGACAAAATGAACGCAAGCGGGATAGAGGAAAACAACGCATAACATACAGTGAGTTTAAGTCAATGGATACCGGAACAAGGTTTGGGAGAAATAACAAAAAGTAACATATTTATTAAGAGATACAAAGGACAGGAAATTGTGGAGAGCCATGATCGCCTACGTCCCGAATGAACACGGCACACAACGAAGAAGGATTCACTAAGAATGAAATGCATTGAGAGTGCGCTGATTTCGACAAAAAACCTAAGACCAGGACCATACACAATATTACCGATCATCACAAAAGAAATAGTGGCGTTATACGATCTAATAGAGAAAGAAACAGATCTTATCGGAATGGGCTCATTTATCAATAATGTGGCCATGGGCAATCACACAGGATGGTGACAGTCTGTTGATTAAACGCGATCCCGAGGCCATGACGATTGTGTTTATACATGAAACAGACAGTTACCATCTAGTATTGATACCTATGTCCTCACTGCTTATATTTACATGCGATGGCTAAATTGACATTTTGAGCTTAAAAATTTTTCGATAATAATATATCATGGGCAAAACTATATATATATATATATATATATATATATATAGATATACACATAATTATAGGATTGGTGTATGCGGAATAAATTCAAATAACCAACAAATACTATTCTAAGACACCAGAAGTACTGAAACAAAATGGAAGTTTTTTTGTAGTGATATTTTATAAACATATTTATGTTATAATTTTGGAATAAATAGATATATATATATATATATATATATATATATATATATATATATATATATATAAAGAAATTTTTGATTTTAAGTCTCTTTATATTAATATATTTCAAGTGATTTGAAAAAAAAAAAACGGATCATCAGATAGCAGTTTTTTAAGTGCTATCTGATGATCCGAATCTTTAAAAAATATTGAAGAAAGTGATTCAAGAATATAAATTTTAGCAATTTTCTTTAAAATATTAGCTATGGATAATTGAGCTCTCAGGATTTCATCCTCCTTGGGACTATTGACAGATACGGATTTTATAATTTAAATTCTCATGATTTATATATATATATATATATATATATGAATGTGTATATGTGTGTGTGTGTGTGTGTGTGTGTGTGTGTGTGTGTGTTAGACAGAAGAGAGAAACTGCAAACGTTTTTGGTTGTAATGTGCATTTTGTTTAAAAATATATTATGCTTTATTTTCCATAATTGGGATTAAATACGGGTTTCGGTATTATGACCTTCATCAGGCAAAGAATGGATATTTCATGTATATTATTAGAAAAAGGAGGTTTCATTTTCCTTAGGTTAATCGATGTTAAATATTCTCGATATTAGACATTCTCTTTTTTTGTGTGTTAGTGACCCAAATGTCTTGGAGTGGAGCTGAAAAAGTTCTGTGTCAAGGGTCATAAAACAATTAAGACTGATAATGAATCAAAAAACAAAGATAATTTTCCAGTTTTAATTGAAATATTGCAACATTATGAGTCGCGACACCACGAGTGCTCATCGGACGATGGGTAGCTAACCGCGCGCAAACACTCTACCGTTCAGTCGTGTCGCTATAAATTAACGAAAGGCGAATAATTTGGTTAGAACGCTTTAAGGCGAAAAAAAAACAAGTGTAATGGACAAAATCTGATCAACAACATTGCGCAGGGAAGAACATATGCAGAATGCGGGTGACTTGATCAAAAACGACCGACTAAACACGTGAGCACAAAGTGGCTTCAATCGTGGTGTGATTCATGACTTGGGGTAACGTAATGTCTGTGCGCGTTGGCTGCCCAAACTATTAAGCGTTACGGGCGTCTTTAATGTCAATTACCGGAAGGCAATACAATAATTTAAAGTGAGGAAAAACACGTTGCACGATATTTATTTTTTTGTTTGTTTAATTTTTTAACCACAATCAAGGCGATAATGCCACTAAGACGCAAAAGGGGGAGAACGAGATTAATTTAGGGAAAGGAACCGAAAACCCAATCCTAAGCCGGAATCAGCGAATCAAACCTTTTACTTGTTGAAAAGATTTTGGGAAATTTTGTGTGGCGATAGGCAGACCCAGAAATACTAAAAAAAGTGAAATTTGCATTTGTTCACCAGCTGAAAAAAAAATGCTATATCGAAATATATATATATATATATATATATATATATA